GACGACTTACCCTACGACTTACAATCGGCGCCAGCGACTTTAAAACGGGTTACTTTTATCGTTGCGTCGGACCCCGGTCCGGCCCCGGGACGGGGGCCGGGGACGGCGGGCACGGGGGTTCCGGCACGGTAAATGCGCTCCGGGCACGCGGCCCGGCACGGGCCCGGCACGCGGCACGGCACTCGGCACGGGCCCCCGGGCACGGGCCGGGCACCGGGCACGGGCCACGCGGCCCGGCACGGGCCCGGCACTCGGCACGGGCCCCGGGCACGGGCCGGGCACGGGCCGGGGAGGCCCGGCACGGGCCCGGCACGGGGCCCCGGGCACGGCCCGGGCACGGGACCGCGGCACGTGGCCCGGGACCGCGGCACGCACCGTCGCGCGGGGGCCCCTAAAACGACACCGTGATGCACGCCTACACGTAGGCTACACGTGGCTCAGACCGCGTGTGGTGGAATTTCAAGGTGTGAGGCGACATTGCTTCGCACCCTGGCACCCTGGCGGCGTCAACGACGGCGGCAGTAGCGGAGACGACGGCGACGACGGTCTGGCGGGCGACGGCCAGTGCTGGGCCAGTGGGATGACGGCGAGAAGATGCGCTTTCTTGGTGACGTGGGTGGCGATGTGGCGTCGGCGACGGCCTCTTCGGAGGAACTGCGCTGGGTTACATGTCCGCTGGCTTAGGTGAGCCTTAGGTGTGGTATGGGGCACTGGGCCGATCCTCCCGATCGTGCTCGCTCGTGGGCAGCGGCGACGCCAACAAGTCGAGCGACACGCCCGTCTATCCGCCCGGCCACACCAACGCGGGCCAGCCCGCGACCTTCGCACACCCCGCGGCCGAGGCCGGCGGCAAGCAGCCCGGCAGCAGCAAGCCCTGCCGCTACTGCGGCACCTGCGAGTACGGCACGCACCTGTGCCCGAGATTGAGCAACCTATTCGCACGCGCCCAGTTCCAGGACATGTGCCCACCCGGCGGCCCGCCGGTGACCAGCGGCAAGTTCCGAATCTGGAATCCGCACTTTTTTAGGTTCTTGAACTTTTTTTGTTACTGGCTCTGCGCGCAAGACGACATTGGGCCCTTTTTAGATGCAACAAGAACCAAAGGAATCGGTGGCCATGGCGCCGAGAACGAGCATGCCAAAGTAGCCCCTCACCATTGCCAGAGCCCTCTTTGCCATCGATTTTCTCAAGATACAGGTCCGCCCACAAAGTGCGCATTCAACACGCCCCCGCCTCATATACCTGGCAGCCTTACCCCGGCTTAATAACAACAGCTTTATTGGCGACTCAATTTTTATCGCCGTCCACATGGGTCGCCTACACAGTAAGGGGAAGGGCATCTCGCGATCGGCGAAGCCTTATAAACGTACGCCACCACAGTGGTTGAAGACATCGTCAGGCGACGTGGAAGAGCATGTGTGTAAGCTCGCGAAGAAAGGTTTAACACCATCCCAGATTGGCGTTATCCTCCGCGATTCGAGCGGGATCCCCGCGGTTAAGTCTGTCACTGGTTCCAAAATTCTGCGTTTGTTGAAGAAGAATGGCCTGGCGCCGGAAATCCCTGAGGACCTCTACATGCTTATCAAGAAGGCGGTGTCTGTCCGGAAGCACATGGAGCGCAATCGCTCGGACAAGGATTCTAAGTTCCGCCTCATTCTCATCGAATCCCGGATCCACCGCCTCGCGCGCTACTATCGCATGACACCGGCGCCTCCCTTCAGTCTTCGAATTTTGATTTTCGCCGCACGTAGGTTCTACGCGGAAGCTTAACGCCTCCTGGAAGTATGAGAGTGCCACCGCATCGGCTCTTGTTGCGTGAGCATCGAGGCCTCGCAGGTTCAGGCTAGCACCAGGCCACAAAGTGCGGGACCGCGGCATTCGCCAAGCAGAGCCACCATCATCAATGGTGCTGGGTTTCCCGGGGTTTGAAGACACGCACCAGCGATACGCACCTAGCCTAATATCAGACTAAGGGGTGACTCCCAGACCAGGCCCTACGCGGGCTCCACTACGCGAACGCGCGGCCCGTCAAGCCCCCCGCCGCGCGCGCCTTTGTGTCTCCGGGTCCGCCTGGGTCCGTGGGAGACCCGCCGGCGCACTTGCCGGCGCCGAGGCCCAGAGCCGAGGCCGGGCCGGGCGGACGGAGCCCGCGGTAAATTCGACGCGTTCTAGTTTGGGGGCCGCCCGCCCCCCCGGCGCCTGAATAAAGCCCCCAGCCGCCGACCCAAAATCGTCGGGGGCGTTTCGGCTTCCCTGGGGTCCCGTCCGGCGCAGGGGCACATGAGAGGGGGGGGGGGCGAAGTTCCGAAGTTCCGAGTCTCTGCCGCCGGCGGCGGCCGCGGGGCTGCGGGGCCTACTAGCCCAGACCACATCGGGGGAAATTAGCCAGCACTAACAGCGCATACCGGCGAATGCCCGGGAAAAAGAAGATAAATATGGGACCCCTATCGAGCCCGGACGGCGCGGTCCTGGAAATTATTGGAAATAGGAAAGAACTCAAGCATTCTATTGGCGGCGAATTACACGGCGCTTCAACAAAAAGCGGCGACTTCGATAATATTATACTGCGTCGTCCGATCTGCCTGTCCCGGGCCCGGGGGCAAGCAGCTGCGTCGATTCCAAGACCTGGCGCTGCGCAGGGTCTATGGACCATTCCTCCCCCTGTACTTTAGTTTCACACGGTTTATGCAGTGCCAAGGGGACTCCGGAATTGCTGGGCTGCACTGCCCCCTGATGTGGACTTCAACGTCCGTCATTACCCTAGAGGGGTATCTCCCCCCAGGGAGGTTCTCTACATTCCGCGGTAGTGCAAACTTTGAGAGTGAAGTCAACTAACAGCCAGCTTCCGTGCAATCAGCCTTAGTGGAAGTATCGTCTGGCCGGGAGTCGCTCCCTGGGCACCCATCGCGAGCTTATAAAAACTCGAGATTTGCCCTACTGTTGAATCAACGAGCTGATGCGGATCACCCACATAAGGGGCAGCCGAGTGAGAGGTTTCGCGTTGTCTGTCAAAACTTCTGTGTCATTCCGACGACAGCAAATCAGAGCCAACAGCGGACTATATCATCCTGAAATTCAGTTCGAGGCCTGTTAGTTGCAAGTCCAACCGTTCGCCGAGTGTTCTATTTCAGTTAAATGTAATGAGCTCCAAGTCAAATACGAGTGCCGAATTTCTCGGGATTAGTCCAGGAAACCCACGTTCACCTACTCTGCACGTCAATCAGAGTCCGAAGTAGGGTAGGAAAACGAGGGGCGCGCCGTAGGCCATGTCTGGCGGTATGACAATTTTTGCGCGTTCACCAATGCTCAGTTGAGAGACACCTGCATCAAGGCCTGGAATCACCTGCTCACCACCCAATTTGAACTTGAAGGGTTTCCCGCGATCCCTCGACGAATCGAACATTTCACCACTCGGAAGCTACGCTCGAGCCGATTATGATCTAGTAATCCGAGCTCTCGATAGACCAACTCACGTAGCCGCTGTAATGGACGGTAACGGTCTGACCCTTGCGTGGGTAGTTAACCCCGTCCCCAGCCTACTTGTCACCATTCCCCACAAAAGTTAAATAGTTATTGCCCACCGCAAATATTTCAACGGTGATGTCCTTCTTGGCTGTCTTAAGCCCGCACATATGGCTCGCAAGTTTGATTAACGCGGCCGTCCTATATCAGGCTTAAGAGGCAATTGATATGTTCCGCGTTACAAGAGGCTAGGGTCGCGGTCGACTCCCCCTGCAAACTCCGGTTAATTCAGGGTTGACGTCTTCGGCCCCGGCGCCTGGCCGGACGTGTCCCAGGCCCCCCTGGGACGTGGGTGGCGCGGGGGCGCGCCCGCGGGGGACGGTCCTGGCCGCCTCCAGCGGAGCGAAGCGCTGGAACCATTGCGTAGCCAATCAGCGCCTCGCCTGAAATGCGAAATATCGCATTTCAGCAAGAGGTATGCACAAACAACCTTAACCACTGTCATGCTGATCTGAGATGAGTGCTCTGAGAATGGGGTGAGGTAGTGGTGGTGGTGGTGGGGGTGGTACCCCTGGGGCCGCTGGAGACCACTCGAATCCACCGGAAATATGCTTGTTTTGGCTCTATCGACCAGTTTTGATCTCGAGCTTGAGCAAACTGGTGGTTTTGACGCTCGATCATAAATTTCGACCGTGTGGAGGTCATGGCCGAGCAGCCCTCCAGCTGCCGATCGGCCAGAACGGGTGGTTCACAGGCTTCGTTGATCCCATGTTGCAGCTGTTTTGACCACTCATTTTGAGCAAGTCGCGACTCAGGGTGGGTAGGGTAGTGGTGCTTGGTGTCGTGGGGTGGTTCACTGCCGGCCTCCTGCATTTCAGCCCAGATACAGCCGCTCGAAATCGACATCGGTGTCGATAGCGTCGTTTGCATGGTCTGCTGATCATGGGTTTTGGACCATGGCGCGCACTCTCTACTTCTTCGCGCACAGCCGAAGGTGCGCCGCGAACGTGGCCGGTTCTACGGGCAGCCCGTCGTCGTTGCCGCCGCGGGGCAGCCCTTAGTTGGGGGCCGTCGGTGGACGCTCGCGGAGTCGCTGAACGTCGGCGACTTCGTGGCGCTGGAGACGGGCGACTACTGGCGCCCGCAGCGCGAGGGCGGCGGCAGCACGCACGCCTTTTTGCTCGCGCGCGTCATGGAGCAGCGCGGGAGCGGCGGGAAGGGCTACGTCGTCGCGGACGACCGCGCGACGCGGACGCACGACAACGAGGAGTACCGCCCCGGGGACCCCGTCGTCCTGGTGCGCCTCTTCGACCGCACGGGCGCGGACACGCGCCGCTTCACCGTCCGCATCTACCGCGCGAACGGCAGGAGCGTTCTCCGAAAGCTCGACTCGGGCGACGGCCGCGAGGACCAGCCCGTCGTCGGCGGCACCACCGCCGTCGCGCCACGCGCGACGTACACGATCACCTCGGCCGCCGAGCGCGCGATCACGACCGCGGCGGCGCACTGAGTCCGCTTTTCGCGCGCGTTTCGCCCGCGGGCGTCGTTTCGCGCGCGCGCGCCACACCACCGACGCCGTCCCATCCGAGCCCCTGGCCGACGCCGTCCCTCGCGGACGTCCCCGGACTGGGGCGGACGCGTCGTGACCGCCCCCGGGACCACCCGGTATCGTTAGCAATTGTTTCGTACTTCTGGGGGGGGTCGACCGTGGTCAGAGCCAAGACTGAGGCGGGGACGAGTAAGATCCAGACCTTAGCGTCACGACGGTCGCGATATGGTTCCGAGAAAAGTCGATGGCGAGAAGGCGCTCGCCAGTGTTGAACGTAGAGAGACAGAGAGGTATCTACCCGCATCCTAGTTACTCACTGCGCTCCTACTGCGTATCCTGCGGCATAATATTTTAAAAAAGCTTAAGCTAATTGTAATAAAACTAGAGCTCATTGTGGTAAAGCTTAGGGAAGATGGATGAATTCAACCGCTGACTCGATGAGAATAACTTCACTATAATGAGATCAACGACTGGCAGTCACTGCAGGCGAGCTACTGCTATCGAGCATGGCTGTCAACGATCGCTGATGCTGGGTTCGGTATGTTCTGGGCCTTCGGGGGAGAAAGTGAGGGTAGTTCGCGGTAGAAACTCGGGGTCGGCGGTCTCGAAAAAGCACTCCATGCCGTCCGAGGGGCTGCAGAAGCTGAGCAGGCCTGTGGGGGCGCGACGCGTGACGCGAGGGGGGCGGGCAAGAGAAATCTCGGCTTCTTCGTGTTCCCCCGCGACACGGACTGGAGTTTCGAGGTCTCCGACCCCGAGTTCCTACGGCGAAGTGCTCTCGTTTTCTTCCCCCATGAAGCATAACATGCCAAACCCAGCTTCATAGATCGTGGGGCCATGCTCTGTAGCAATGAATTGCTTGCAGTGAGATATACGTCCGACCAATGAGAGCTCTGCATTTCTCAGAGGGCTCGAGCTCTGCCTCGCCGAGAGCATGGTCCTGCTGCTCAACGACTGGGCGCAAGACGAGCTGGGCCGACAAGGGCAGCGGCAGCGCGAAGAAGCGCGACGCCTTGTGGTACCTCAAGAACATCGAATCGCACGCGCTCATGTACCACCACCGCCCGGGCCGCAAGGTCGCCATGGTCTGCGACGACAACGGCGACGGCGTCTACTGGACCGGCTACGTCCGGAACGCGAAGGCCCCGAAGGCCAAGGCCGGCAGCGTCGCGTACATCATCTGCTTCCCGGACTACCCGGGCGCGGAGGAGCTCGCGAACGGCCTCGCCCTCGCGGACGAGCTGGGCTCCGCCGGCACGTGGTAAGGCGCGCAGGGCTAGCTAATGGGCCTTAGCCTCCTCCTCCTCCTCCTCCTCGGCGGCGGCGGCGGCGGCGGCGGCGGCGGCGGCGGCGGCGGCGGCGGCGGCGGCGGCGGCGGCGGCGGCGGCGGCGGCGGCGGCGGCGCGCGCGCGCGCGCGCGCGCGCCGCGCGCGCGCGTGGGGAAATTAGGCCAGTCTTTTTCCGTCGTCGATGCTCCAGGCACTGTCGCGTCGTCGGTGTCGTCGCCCGCGTGCCAGAGCATCGCGCGCCGCGTGGGCGGCGGCGCCAGGCGCTCGGCGGCGCGCGGCGCGGCGACGCGTGGCGTGGCGGCGCTGGGGCTGCGCATTCCCTTCGATCGATGTGTGGTGCGGCTGCGGTGCGATGCGCGTTGGCGCGGGGGCGACTCGCCGGCGCTGCCCATGCTAGCTGCCCCACTAGTTGAAGCTTAGCTCGTTTACGATGACTCGTTAGCTCGACAACAATGACTTTATTACGAAACTAGGATTAGGTTTTTCTACATTAAGCTTAAGCTTTATTAAAATAAATTTCCGTATCCTGCTAGTTTCCCTTCCCTTGTAAGCGCGGTCCGTCGGCCTTCATTCTGGCACCCTTGATGGAACTGAGCTCAGCCCCCCTTCGAGGGAGGAGTTTACCTTGCTTCCTTTAGCTTCAGTGCGCAAAACAAATATTGTAAACGAATTGTCCCACGTCCGTTGGACGTCCGTTGGATGTCCGTTGGACGTCCGTTGTGACCCCCGCGCGCGCGGTGGACGGACGTCGGAGGACCTCTATGAGAACCTCCCGCCGGGCGACCGCAAAACAATAGTTAATATTTCTATGACCGCGGCTAGCCCTATGGTTGTTTTGCACACTGTTTAGCTTCCGGCTAGTGGGAGATGTGGCCCCCCACGATAGAATGCCGGGCTCAGGCTTACGTTGCACCCCAAGATTTCGATCGAGTGGTTCAGCGGCCAAGACGGCGCTGAGGGCCTTCAGATGCAACAAGAATTTTCCAAATCGGTGGTCATGGCGCCGAGATAGATCTCTCCAAAGGTGCCCATCACCACTGCCCAAGCCCTCTTCTTGGCCATCGATTTTCTCGATTTGATCCCGAGCCACTTAATCCGGGATCTTATCGTGGGGAGCCACAGATACGAAAGGCCAAGACTTAGTGGACGGAAACAATATTTCCCCTTGATCATCATATGATGATACTAAGCCGTTACCTGAAAATAGCGTAAGGGATAAGAGCGCGATTTCTCATGGACAGCGTAGCACATACAATTAGCAAAGATGAACTTGACAGTCGAATGTAAGACCACGCGAATCATAACCGTTACGTGGGACATCCAGGCGGTCAACAGTGCACAATTTGATTCACGTTGCCACGCTAGAACAAGAGAGGGCGAAGAAACATGAAAAGATCATGCAAGATTTTATTACTGAAGCACGATTTCAAGCTGCTTTGCTGCTCAAGGTATATGCAGACTCGAACGAATATTAATGAAAATGAATGCCAGGCCAACGCGAGTGAGCTCAAAGTAGCTATGCGAAAAATGCAAGCTGCAATCCTACGCGTCAAGAGCAGCACCTACAGCCGCGATGAGATTCATCGGCTCTTGCGACACCAACGTATTGAGACAAATTCAGAGACAGGTGCCGTCAAATTTGGATTCCCGTGCGAGAGCTTTCACACAAGGTACGAAGCTCAGCCCACCTGCGAAAGTTGACAGGATCAGCCCGACTTTAACGAGTGATGATAGCTTGGCAGAAGTATCGTCGCACTCTAATCTTTCCCAAAAAATGGAGGCTCATATGGCTGACACGAAAGACAAGCACAGGTCTTTGGAGGATCGTTTAGCAATAGTTGAAGATAGGATTAGGCGCCTGGAATCAGTGCGATCTGGCTTGCATTCAGAAAAAACAATATTCCCCCCCGATGCCATGTGCACTTCGAAGCAGAATGTTCTGCGCCCGGTGCGCACAGTCGAAACAAATGGCGAGTCTCATAACTCCAGAGAACCCACTGAACCCCCTATCGCGATGGAGCTTAGCACCCCAATACTTGGACTGAAAGTGGTAAAAGAACCCGCCGTTGCTGCAAGCTCAGATGTGCGAGATATCTCCACGGACATCCACGGTATCGTCAAAACTGATCAACCTGCACGACGCTCAAAATTAG